TAATAATAATAATAATAATAATAATAATAATAATAATAATAATAATAATAATAATAATAATAATAGAGGATATTAATTAATAATTAATAATAATAGATAAAATTATATAATAGCTTTCTTTTCTCTTACATTCATACAGCAGGTATTTTAATACTAATGATCGTACGATAAATTTCTCTTCTCTCCCTTTTTCTCATCTCTCTCTCTTTCTCTTTCTCTCTCTTTTTTCTCCCTATTCTCCCTATTCTCTTCAAATAATAATAGTACGTTTTTCTTTCTACTGGTATACATATATCACTCTTTTACACACAATCTTTCTTTTATTCTCTTTTACATACATACATACATACATACGTATACACGCACTCATACACGCTCTTCCTTCATTCCTCCTTTATTTTTTAATATTTTTCCCTTCATCGTCGTTGATGATCTTTGCAATAATATATTTTTCTATTTATATATATATATATATATATATTTATATATATTATAGGCTCGATAGTTATAAGGCAACCTCAGTTCATCGTCGCTATTTCAAACATTCTCTCATTCTCTCTCTCTCTCTCTCTCTCTCTCTCTCTCTCTCTCTCTCTATTCATTTCTTTCTTTCTTTCCATGATCTCTCGCGATGATCCATCGAGGTTGATCTCACACCCCTTGAACGCACGATCCTCTCGCGATCTCGCCACTTCCGGTCCCCCACCACAACAAACACCTCTCCTTCGTTTCGTAAGTAATAATAAATATTTTACAATAGTTTTTAATTCTTTTTTTTTTTTTTCTTTTTTTTTTTCCCCCCTCTTTCTTCCCTCGCACGCGTGAATATCTTTCACGCGAAAAGGGATTAAAAGCGACACGAGGGGCTCGAGAGAGAGACTCTAAATCGTTTTTATGGCACTCGTTTAAAATGGCTCGGCTCTCAAGCAGCTTATCCACGATCCTCCGCGCTTTATCCTCGCTTTTTTAACCTTCGCGCAATTTTTCACGCGAGTTTACGAGCGGATACTAGTACGAACACTACCACTATTATCCCCAGAGCTCGAATCTTTCCTCGAAAGAGATCGAAAAAGATCGAAACCGGACGTCGCGAGAATATCTTTCTTCCTTGGATTTCTTTTGCTCGATCGCGAGAGGAGGACGGGGACCGATGTATGACTAATCGACTTCGTTGACACGCGCAACCTTGCTAGTGGAATGATATACTAGAGACTAATAGGGGAAGATTAGGATTGAGTTTTTGGGAAACCTCATCCCGGACCCACCAGAGACCCGCTCTTGTGTCTTTAATCTTCTCGAAAGATTATAATAATAATAATAATAATAATAATAATAATAATAGTAATAATAATAATAATAATAGTAGTAGTAATAGTAATAGTAATATTAATAATAATAATAATAATAAAATTCAAAGACAAACGAAAGAACGAAAGAAAGAAAAAAAAAAAAAAAAAACGTAGTAGTCGACAAATTTTTCTCGTGACAAATATATTTTCGAATTTCGGAAACGTCATCGTTGAAATAAAAAAAGCAAGCGGATCTCCAAAATGGCGGACGAAATTAGTTCTCGTCCCTTCGTGGTGCTCGATTCACGAAACGCTGGAAAAGTGTCTTAAAAAAAAAAAAAAAAAAAAAAAAAAAAAAAAACGAAGGATTCTCCAAGTCAGTCGCAGAATATCAACTCCTTCAACCGCGTGTACAAGCCTCTAAAAAATTTCTATTATCGATCTATATATTCTTCGAATCGAAGTGATCATTCTTCCCATTATATTGTCGGATAAAAAAGACGAAAGGATAATTCTTGGCGACTGGATGTTCGTTTCTCGTGTACTTTGACGCGCTTATTTAAGGCACTAACTTCCTACGATCGTGTTCACATCGTTCCTTCCTGTGCATGTCTTTTCGTATTATTATTTTTTTCCTTTTTCTTTTTTCTTTTTTTCTTTTTTTTTTTTTTTCCCTTTTACTTTCTCGTACAGCTCAGTGTTTTGAAAAGAATTTGCGTAAACGGTCGGTCTTTGCTAAGGCACGGTCCTACAAGTTCGGGGAAAACTCTAAAGGCACCCTAGCGCGTCACCCTTACACTCGCACACTTACACAACGTCCCAACGGGATTATGCATGCTCTAACAGCTAACGTGTGATCAATAGTACTCGAAAAAATACATTTTTGTGATTATTTATTCTTCAGGTTCGTCGTGTTACTCGTCGTCGATCGTCCTCTTCTTTTTCTTCTTCTTCTTCTTCCTCCTCTTCTTCTTCCTTTTCTTCTTCTTCTTCTTCTTCTTTTTCTTTTTTTTCTCTCACAGGGGAGATTTCATCAACGATACGATCGTAATCGTACTTGGTTCAAGGATATTCCGATTCTCAATTTGAAACTGGAAGAATTTAACTGCGATATTTATACGAGATTCGTAAGAGATTCGTAAACAAAATTTTTAAAGCCCGGCTAAATCTCGATAAATATGATCAAAGGAAAAAAGTTTATTTAGGGATACTATTACTAAAAGATACAGATTTACAATACAGAATTAATAATCGTAGAATCGTTGTTGAATATCCCCTGAGAACAGGAACGCGAGAATTTCCATTTTCATTTTCACGTATAAAACGTACTACACACTCGTCCATCTTTTATTTCGAGTTGCTCTCGCAATTTACAGTATATACGCGTACATACTTCTCTTTCCAATCTTCATGACGATCTCGTGTATATATATATATATATATATATATATATTTATATATACACACAAGATATACATGCTCCTTACTTTTCGACAAAATATATCCGCAACAAATAATATTTTGTTTCCTGCGAGCAACGGTTGCCTCGAAAACGAACGAATCACCGAATCATCCTTGATCTCTAATGTTCGCTATATGTCTCGTCTTGGCTGGCAGTCTTTTTGTTAACTCTCAGTTAATTTTCTTGCAGTTCTTTTTTTTTTTTTTCGTGTTTTTTTCTTTTTAAATTTTTTTTTTTATCAATACTGTTCGTAATACGATTAATGATGTAAAGATACGCGTACCCTCCTAGTCGCGGCGTGAAAGCGTATAAATCTTTAGTACGATTCGTTACCGTTCGTTTTATTTCGTCGGTTCGGAGTTCCTTTCAGTGGAAAAAACAAAAAAAAAAAAAAAAGAAAAAANAAAAAAAAAAGAAAAAAGAAAAAAGTGGGAACTTAAGAAATAATAACAGCTGTAGATGGGGAAGAGGGAAAAGAAAGAAAAGAAGAAAGAAAGGAAGGAAGGAAGGAGGGAGGAAGGGGGGAAAAAAATCGTAGAAAAATCATTGCACCATTGATGGGAGGATGTTGAAAACGGAGAATTCATTTCTTCAACGATGTTCATCGATGGTGCGATGGACTAGACGTAATAGTATCTCTGTCTTTTTAACTCGCGTCTGCTTGCCGACGGTTGATCATACAGAATCAGTTGAACTCGTTATAAATAATCCGATTCCTCTTCGAAGACGTTTCATCGATCGAATATTTCATTCTCTCTCGGTTCTTCGCATATATATATATATATATATTCTAGGAGATAAGTGGTCGCGACGATTTTACTTTGCACCACGTGGAGGGTACACGAGTGTTACTAGAAAAAAAAGGGGGGGGAGGGAGGAAAAAAAAAACGAAAAAACGAAATGTACAAGGTCTTTTTCTATTAAATATTATAGTTTGTCTTTTATCCTCGCGATCTAAAGCTATACGATAGACTCGTCATTCTTGTTATTGTCTACGGGTTCTATGCCAGGTTCTCTCTCTCTCTCTCTCTCTCTCTCTCTCTCGCTCTCTCGCTTTCTCTCTCTCTCTTTCGCTCTCTCTCTCTCTCTCTCTCTCTTGTTTTCGTTCCTTTTTTAGATCTCTTCTGTCTGCCGAATCGCATCGTGCCACGAAAGTCTCTTCCAGCACCATTCGGATTCGAGAAGTGATCGTGCGAAATGTTGCAAGATGATCGATAAAAAATATCTCTCTCGTAAGTACGAAGTCATCGAGGTGATTTGAACAGTTCCATTCGATGCATCGACCGATTATTAACGGATTATAATATCCGTGGTGTTCCGATCCGAACGAGAAGACACACGCCGCAAAAGAGCTATCGATTACTCCTGGTCGATAGAACGGCTGAAGATTAATGACTAGGCCGCGGTCGGGGTCTGCTCCTAATCATCCAGCCTCGTCCAACGAATGTACGCAACACGCAATCGTGTATCGGGCATGGACAATCGCGAGCAAATTCTGCTGGGGAATGTCTACAGGGTGCGTACGAAATTGTCTTTTTCTTTCTTTCTTTTCTTTTTCTTTTCTCTCTCTCTGTCTCTCTCTCTCCTTTTTCTTCCTCTTTATCATAATTCAGATTCGATCGGCGATTGATCCGAAATTGGTCGATCCAACGGATCCAACCTTCCCCCCCGCTGCTTCCTTACTTCGCCCTCTCTTCGATTCCGGGCCATCTCCATCCACCGCGTTCAAGGAATGTCTAAGGGGACCTAAGAGAAATTGTCTTTCTTCGGTTTCCTTTCTTCTCCTTCCAACTTAATGGCAGTTCGAACGTGGACAGTCGCGATATTATGTGTCCATGTGGCGATACTTGTGAGCGGACATCTGCGCTAGGCCGAGGACGGCGTACTGGCACTGAAGACAATGATAGTGAGTCTGTTTGCCGGAATGCTGGCACTGTACACCACCGCAAGGTTGACTCGGCGTGAACTTTTGAAAGCCTGCCGCCGCTATACTGTCCAATTTCGCGTGTTGCCGCCTGTGGGCGACCACTTTGTTCGTGTCCGTGCAAACGAAGTCGCACTTGAGGCAATGGAAGTGGGACGCCTTGTTCTGCATCGAGCCCAACGAGGACGTGTACGCGCACTGTGCCCTCCCGCACGGCACGTTCGCTCTGTACTGTTGGAAATCGCCACCCATCAGGGTGTCGAGACGCTCGTGTCTCGCCGTGTGTTGGACGAAACGAGTTTTGTCGCAGAACGAGTACCCGCAGTCTTGACGCATGCAGTGGAAATGCGTTTGGTGTTCCCTGTAACCGCAGTGGGGATACCTGCAGTCCTCGTTGAATCTGAACCTGAAATATCGACAACGAGACGAATATTGATTAAACGACGTGAAATAAATATATATATATACATATACGTACGTAGATATTAAAAAAAAAAAAAAAAAAAAAAAGGTGCGAACCTAACGTATCCTTCCGGCACCGGTTCGTCCTTGAGCATCCGCATGGAGTGATGAAGCCTCTGCTTCTTCGCCTCTGGAGAATTGCTGTCGGGCGGGGACAAGGATCGCTTGTTCAAGTTGAGATTGGCCGCGAGCGAGGCCAACGGGTTCTCGTCTCTTGCGGGAGGTAGAAAATTGGCTGGCGGTAGACCAGGCGCGAACATCAAGCCTGGCCCGCCCGTGTACATGCCTCCGTGTTGGAGGAACGGTGGCAGGGCTTGGTTCATCAGGGCTATCTGTTGATTCATGGCTGCCATCACTGCCGGGCTTGGGAAATGGAATCCGTGGCTAAGGTCAAGCTCGAAGCTGGCCGGAACCGGGGATTGTTGAACACTGGGTGGCATGCTCGGCTGGGACAATTGACCGTTCTCGTTGCTGTCCATCACCGAATTGTTCCCCCCCTCGTCCCCCCGCGAAATTTCACCGGGCTCCCTCTTCACGCTGGGAACGTTTTGGACGCCGACGTCCGAGCCGCACCTAGCCGGCTCGATCTTCACCACCTCCTTCACCACCTGGGTCTGCTGGCTCATCTGGCCGAGGGTCTGCTGCATCTGACGTTGCATCTGATTCTGGAAATTCTGTATGTTCTGCGCCATCTGGGCGTTCTGCGCCATGAAGTCGTGCTTCTGCGACAATTGGGCCAAGTAGTCGTGTTGCAGTTGATTAGGGGGTTGACCAGTGGCGAGCTCGTGCTGCTGCTGACTGAGGATGGCACCTGTCGAATGTTTCGCTATGTGGGCCACCAGTCGATCCAATTCGGAGAAAGCTTGATTGCAGGCGTTACAATGGTAATGGTTTTTACGTTTCAACTTGCAGAACGGCCTGCTACAGCTCTGCTCCGGTCCGTAGAGGGTGTGGGGCGAGGCCGAGCTGGTCGATGGAAGAACGGGGGATTCTGCAACGGAGAGATCGAAGCGCGTTAGCGTTACGGAAGAAACGAGGAGGAGGCGAGGAGGAAAGGAGGAGCAGAAACGACGACTGAGAGCGTCGTATTACCGATGCTAAGAGAGAGAGAGACGCAATTCAAGGCAAAGAGAGAATTGGTCGTCGAAAGAGAGAGAAATAGAGAGAGAGAGAGAGACACGAACCTTGGTGCACGGAAGTTCGCATGGATAGCACGACGCCCGGAAGTGCGGGTTCACTCGGCGGTCCACTAACCGGATAATAGGTGCCTGCCGCCCTCACCACTAGCAACAATCAACCAAACAACCAACACTTCAATACCTCCCACTATAATTACAACCACCTTGTACAATAGATACGTCAAACTCAACAAGAGAAAAAAAAATATATATATATATATATATGTGTGTGTGTGTGTATATATGCGTGTGTCCATGTAAGAAATAAAAAAAAAGGGGAATAAAAATAGGATGAAAATGACATATTTTTCTTTTTCTTTCTTTCTTTCTTTCTTTCTTTCTTTCTTTTTTGTAATCCTTTCGACGGAAATATTAATAATTTTATTCGCGAATAAAAGGCGAATAATAAAAGTCGAAAGGATGGAGAAGTGCGAACGTGAATCGTAATATACGCATATGAGGTGTGCGTGTACGTGCAAAAGACATGCATCGACTGGACGATTGTCTCCTCGACATCTCAACATCTCAAATAACTACCAAACAAAACTCGTCTATAAAACAATACTATACAACAGGTGCACTGGTTCGTGTCCACGTGGAAAATTAAACTTACCGGTCGTCTTGTTGACATCCGGGCTCGGAATCTCCGATTCCTTCTCGTCCATCATCGATCTATTCTCCATATCACCACCACCACCACCACTACCACCACCACCACCACTCGCCATACATTCTTCGGGTTTTTCGATCAGCTCGGCCGGATTCTTCACTTGAATCCTAGGCTTGGTCGTATCCTGGACCATCGGTTGGGCGTGGGTCTGACACTCTTGGTTGGACGACGTCGTTTCGACGACGTTCGACCGACTGTCGTTACCACCGTGGCTATTGCCGTGCTGTTTCTCGTGCATCGCCATGGTCGAGTATCTGACGAACGAGTAGCCGCAGTTCGGCCTGGTGCAATGGAAATGGCGATTAACGCGATTACTGTGACAACCGACCAGCCGGCAATCTACCATCTTATCGAAGAAGGCGAAGCCCGGCGGTATGTCGACGTTATCGTGAAAGTCTTTGCTGTGCATCAGTAATTGGTCGGGCCTGTCCGTGGAGAAGTGACACCTAAGCTGGGAACAATGGTGGTGTCTGGTAGATCTCAACACGCAAGCCGGATCTGGACATCCGTCGGGATTATAGGTGGAGAATCCCTCGGGCTCGCCGAGGCTGTTCGAGGGCGAGACGCTCCCCTCGCGATCCTCGGCCATAGGATTGGACGCGAGACTAGGGGTTTGAGGTTTCGGTAGCTTGAAACTCGTGAAGATCGCTTGGGGGGAGTCGTGGGTGTGGGTGGCCGGGTCGCCACCCGACCAGATCTCGATCACTCTGTTCTTCGGTGGCCTGCCCCTCTTCCGCCTGAACATGGCGTCGATGTTGGTCAGATGGGTCAGCGTCACGTCCGAGGACAAGGCGTGGGAGGAGCAGGAGAGGTTCAACTGTCGGCTGTACTCGTGGATCTTGTAATGTTGAAGCCGACGGAACGGTTTGTCCGTGGAGAGGATCACCTCTCGGCAATTCTCCCAGTTGCAGTGATAATGCTTCTCCTTGTCGGCGTACGGGCAACTGTCGTCGCATCCGCCCTCCTCGAAGAAGGCGTCCGTGATGCGCTCTTGGGTCTCGTGCTCCTTCAAATGTTCCCTGACCTCGCGAGGATCCTTGAGAGGTGCGCCGCAACGGTCCAACCCGCAATGATGATGCTCCCTGCCCAGGTGGCAGGGGCAATCGGGGTTACCCGGCACCAGATACGCCAATTCCATGGCGGTAAGCTGTTGCTGACTCTGTTGCTGTTGCTGTTGGTCCACGGTTACCGTGGAACTTCCACTGGCCGTGGTGACCGTGGTCGTAGGCGCGGTGAGATCTATCGCTAGATCGCTACCGCTCTGAAACGAATCGTCGAGGGAATAGTAGGAGGGGGAGCCCCTGTCCTCGTTCGAACTTTCGCCGTTTAGGCTGAGGGAGAGGCTTTGCGTGGTGAGATCGTCCGGTGGCCAGGAGCCCGGCGGCCGGATACCGCCAACCGCGTTGATCTGCTTGTACTTTCTGTAGGCCAACTCGGTCTCGTGGCGCTCGTGTTTTCGTTTATGGGAGAACAATTGGCCCGACGAGTGAAGAACGTAGCTACAGTGCGGTCGTATGCAGTGTATGTGATTGCACACGCGCGAGAAACGGCATTGCTCGAAGGGGCATGCCTCGGACTTCATGAATTTCTTGAACCCATCGCGGGACAATTGCTCGTCTTTGATGTGGTACGATTTGTGCTTGTCTGTAAGAAGAAAATCACGAAAGGGGCGTATTAGGGGCGAACCTGCTTAACTGGGGGAAGGAGAGAGAGAACTAGGTCTAAGTCTGTCTCATGTACATTTAGCCAGAGATGTGTATGTATGATCGGCAAGCAAACAGAAATCGCTAATATATGTATGTATATATATATATATATATATACATATATATAGATATATATATATATATATACGTGTATATATACATACTACCACGGTAACAGTATAATGTAACGAGTAATCTAGGAAAGAGAGGAGACTATATAATTTCTAAGAGGCAGAACTGCGAGTAGTTCTTTACCCATGTCAGCCTTGTTCTTGAAGGTGAACCGGCAACCTGGTCGCCGGCAATGGAAGTGCGTGGTCCGCTGGCCAACGAAGGGACAGTGATCGGTAGCACAGCTCTCGGTAGCTCGAAATCTCTGGAAACCCTCTTGTATGATAGCCGAATCCTTGCGATGGTAATTGGCGTGCATCTGCACGTCCGACGTCGATATGTAAACTTTATCGCAATTCTCGTGGATACAGTGGTAGTGCGTCTGTTTTCTATTGTGGGGGCAGGCACGGCCCGGATGTCTCTCCGAGCAATCATCCGTCGGCGAATACCTCATGAAGCCGTGCTGCAAAGATTCGTCCCTCTTTTTGTGCCACTTGAAATGCCTGATCATTTCCTCCTTTTTCACAAAGACCCTACCACTGCAATCCAGACAGTGAAAATGCTCTCGGCAACCGAGCTCCTTACAATACGAGCTACCGCATTCTTGACCCGACGTGTACCGCCTCACGTATCGGGAGTAATCGATTATTGGTTGTGACACGGAGCTTTTCGAGCTACCGATCAAGGTGTCCGCAACCGGAGACATGCTTTGTCTCAATAATGCTGAAATCAGAAACCAAAGAGAAGAGGTGAGGATTACTCTTGGGGGATTTAGCCTACGTAACGATGAAACGGGGAATCGAACGTGCTGTCCATCCAACCTTTTTCTTTTAGAAAAAAGAAAAGTTTTTTTATTTTCCCCTGATAAAATAATTCCCTCATCTTTTCGACAGTCGATAGATGGACGGTACTCGGCCTCTGCCGTTAACGAAGGATCGAGGTTGGTAAGGAAGCGTTCTGCAAGCCAACGAAGAGAGCTCGCTCTACTCTTACCAACCGCTTTATCTACGGTGAAAAGTAGAAATCTATCCAACGAAAATTCTAACGAAGAAACGAATTGATCTCTTTCTCTGCTGCTTCACTAGCGTTTTTTCTTTTTTTTCTTTTCTTTTTGCATCTGTATCCTCGACACAGAAGCGCGATCTCGCACGAATCGCGTCGAGGATTGACCACGACTCGAGTTGGACGCGGACCACACGACACAAAGGGTAGTCGAGTATAGCAGGGTAGGTTGCATCATTTTTTTTTTCGTTCGATTTTCGTTCTCGATTCCTTCTCGAGCAATCGCAAATCGGACATGTGTCGTTCTATGTATCTTCTTCTTCGAAATATATATTCCACGTAGAAAATTAGCTACGCATCGCAGGATTCATTTTTCAATGTTTATCAAAGCTGTCCGATCTGAATATTATTAATCTTTACCATTACGCGTACGACTCCAACACGCGTACTACGGTACGCGTTCGTTCGAATGACAACAACGCACTCCTCTTCCACAGAATTTCGCGAATAGAAGCCGCGAAATATATAACCAAAGGGGAGAATATATGGCGGAGGCCCCACCTCCGGCAGCCGGAAACCACGTTCGGCGTGCCCTACCAAAAAGGCTCTCTCGGTTGATTCCAAGAAATTCCTACTTGTCGACTGTGCACGTTTGAATGCGTTCAGAAACGAGTTTAAAAATTGTCGAATATTTCTCTTAGGGGTTCCCCCCTTTCGGCCGTGTGCCTTGGTGGGGATAGGTACGCCAGCCGAGTTTTATGCGCACGTGTGTACGCGAAAGAGAAGAAGGGTTACGAAGAGAAGAGGGAAACGAAAGAAAAAGGAACGACGAGAAAACAGACGAAATGGTAAAGGTTGCGAGGGAGAGAGGCTAAACCATTATGCCTCGGTATTATGTTCTCCTCGAGGTATATATACCGAAGCTTCCGAATCTGTATATCCAACCACCATTTCTCTCCGAATCGAATCGGGGAGAAGGCACGGATCTTGAAATCCGAATCCATGGAATCTAAAAATCCAATGGGGTCCAATTTATGCAAGGCTACTAGGCTCTCGATCATCCTCGAGGATTGGAAGAAGGCCTCGAACAAGGTGTTTGGAAGAAGACCGGCAAATTACGGCTCGAAATTACGAAATTTCCATTTCGCTCTGGACTTTTCGCTTAAATTAATTATCCGGCTTAGCCGAATCGGGAATAGCCGTTGATGCATATTGTTGCGCAACGTTCGGTTATGACTGTTAATCCATCCTCCGCTGCAGTAATTATGTAACGCAGCTGCGTGTTTTGTGTAGCTCGTTAGAGCACCTTCTCGACTAGCCTCGTCGAGGAAACTCTTATTCGCGTGAATTTACGGCCGGCGTGTTACGCGAGAGGAGGAGGCGGATATAATTAAGCGAGGTTAAGGTTCCTTCCCTCCCTCCTATCGAGCATTAAACAACGAGCGTTTAAACAAATCGAGAAAATCCAATCCGATCGATCCTTCTTTATTCTATTCTATTCGGGAAGGTGTTGGACATTTCGTTGACGACCAATTATGCGGGCCGCGTCGCAGGAAGCGTGCCAAAACAACCGCGGTGCTACCGTCGAAAGGAACCTGGCCTTGGATGTGCATTCCACGCGAATGTAATCGTCTTCTCTCTGCGTCTTTCGCAAAAAAAAAAAAGAAAAGAAAAGAAAAGAAAAAGAAAATAAAAGAAAAAAAAGGAAAGAAAGAAAGAAAGAAAGAAAGAAATTCATTTTTTATCGTGCATCCTCTACTCGAGAAACTCGAGAAGGAAGAGAATTCGATCGAGAATTAGCGTACGAAGCGTATGAAAAAGTTAATAGAGAGCGGTATGATCGAGTGTCAGCTGTTTCGGAAGGGAGTGGGGGCCCGTGTATATAATCGAAAACGAAAGAATACGAGAGGAACGTGACAGGATTTAAGAAGCAAATCTTAAAAAATACGAGAAATCTACGGACCCCGATCCCCCTTTTCCTACCCCAGTAGTGCACGAATATCCGTAGCGGCTTTCAGAGAGAGCGGCTGAACCCTTTTATTCGTGGTTCTCGAAACTCGCGCAGGCTGGAGGGGAGAGGTCGATCCGGCTGTGGATGAAAAACCTCGGGGCCCCACGATCGGGGAGAGTTTAAAATTTTCAAAAAGCCCGATCCTGAAAAGGAGGCCCCCGTATTTCAGCGATTCTCTCTCTCTCTCTCTCTCTCTCTTCTCTTTTTTTAACATTTAATCCGTGCAGCCTTAAGCTGAATAACCCTTTATACGTGATCTCTCCGTCCACGGCTACCGAAAATCCTCGACCGAGCACGATCTCCACGCAAATGTTTCGATGCTTTCAAATTTGATTCAATAAATAAATTCTATTTTTTTCTTTCTGTTTTTTTTTTTTCTTTTTATGACAAACAACGTTTGATAAATCGTGCGTTTTTAATCCAAAGATAACGTCGAGAGAAGAAAAGGGGGCAAGAATGAATCAAACTCTCTACAAAAAAAAATCGCGTGTTTGGATAATGCGTCAAGTGTGGTCGTAGTTCTGCGTAGCGATCGCGAAAGGTCCATTGAATCTTTTCCTTCCTTTCTCTCTCTCTCTCTCTCTCTCTCTCGACTAAATATCGACAAAAAAAATCTTAACGGGCAAATCCCACCCCTTCTTCTCTGCCTCTTTACCCTTTTTCGACGGTCCTCGTCACAACATTGTTTCCGGAAAAACGGCTTCGTAAAAAAAAAGTAAGCGGCCAGATGCGATTTAACGAGCCAGAATAGAGACGTTTCGTTGATTTCACGGACCTTTGGAGAGGAATGATGCGGAACACCGAGAATATTTTGACGTTGAACGCCAATATTTTCGAAACCTCTCGAAGCAAGGATTAGCTCTAATCTTCCATCGAGATCGAGATATAATAAAAGTTCCATCGATCCTTGAAAATTCCCTTTTCCACGATTTTGGAATCCTTTTTTTTTCTTTCTTTCTTTTCTTCTTTTTTTATCGTCTTCTACCCAGCAAAGAGACGAAAAATAGAAAAGAAGGAATATGTTTACTTTTAAAATTTCCTCGAAATCGCGAGAAGAAAATCACGGTTCGACGAGAAAAAGTTTTCGGGCGGAAGAAGGGGTGAAACTAAAATGGTATAACGGCGTAATCGTCAATCCATGAAAATCGTGGCGCCAAGAGGGTCAGGCGAAGCGAGCGGATGAAAGTCGCGGTCGAAGGTGGAGCACAGAGAGAGAGAGAGAGAGAGAGAGAGAGAGAGAGAGAGAGAGAGAGAGAAAGAGAGAGGACAGAGAGAGATAATCCAGAGCGAGGAAGAGACGGGCCGACACTAAACTATTCTAAGCTCCCCTGCGAGAGAGTGTCGCGAACTTATTGTCTCTCAGCGGGCACGGCGGCGTTATTTCTGTCAAAATTACGTTATGGTCGCCATTCTCCTGTCCCGTTTCTCTCGGTGCTACCCGTTTAGCACCTTCTTTCATGCTACAGAGAGCTCATTTCTCCTTCCTCCTCCTCCTCCTCCTCCTCCTCCTCCTCCGCCTCCCCCCTCCCCCTCCCTCATCCGTCTTCTCCAATCTTCTTCGTCGGTGGAAAACGGTTCGCCGGACCAGAATAAACGTCGGTTTAAACACGCTGCCATTATAATTAACGCGATTCCTTCTTTAGGGAAGAGAGGACGACGCAAGAAGTAAAAGACGCGGAGTAGTTTCCAGAGGATCGGCAAGATTCTCGAACACGCTCCCTTTCCAACCGGGAATTTACGAGCTTCCCTCCGTGTACTGCCGATAGAATTATTCCCACCTTTGTCTTCTCCTTCCTCCTAATTATTACTAGCCTCGGTGTAACCGCGAGATTTATAGCGCGGTATTTATAGATCTGGCCGTTCTGATATCCCCGGATTCGCCGATCTATCTCGCCACGACCACCGCGTACAATTGTCGCGCGTTGGATCGACGCAAGTCCACCTAATTCTCGCTTTTTATTTCCTTTCCTTCTCGCAATATCGATCGCGATCGATATCAACGAGAATTGGGAAAATAAATTGGGATTAGGAATCGAATTAGGAATTCTTCTTCGTTTCTCGAATCTCGAATCCGTGACACAATCGGCGCGCCAGAGATCGGTTACATCTCGAGCGAAAATTTCCACGATGTGGTGGGGTAGGGTTATCGATGCGCCGAAAACGTGATTATTCATCGAGAACGATTATTATAGCGACGAGGCTTTCGTGAGGAGCAGCAGCAGCGTGCGTGAACGAACGCGCGCGCGTACAAACGGTCGTTAAAGCAATCAAGCCACGTGCTACGCGCTTGCTCTCTCTCTCTCTCTTTCTCTCTCCCTCTTCTCCTCTCTTCATTTCTCTCTCTCTCTCTCCGTCTCTCTCTGTCTGTCTCTCTCCCTTCCTCCCTCCGCGTGGCCGTTTCTAAAGGCACATTCATTAATGTCGCGTAGCATAGTTGGTATCGTTTTACCCCTACGGCGAGGCGAGGCGCGGAATTTTTTTCTCCCCCCCCCCCTTCTTCTCTCCTTCTCCTTCTTTTTTTTTTTCATTTTAATCTAGCCTGCCCTCCAACGTATAGATTTTTCGGGGCCACTGTTACGGACATACTACTTAGTGTCAACCAACCACCCCTCTCTCTTCCCTTGCTCCTTTCTGCCACGCACCCCCTTCTTTTCACGGCGTCGTGGGTCGAGCAACCCCCCCTCTCTCTCTCTCTCTCTCTTTTTCTTTC